GGCTCAGTAGTTGTGGCTTGTGGGCTCTAGAGCACAGGCTCAGTAGTTGTGTTGCATGGGCTCAGTTGCTCCACAGCATGTGGGATCTTCCGGGACCAGGGCCGAACCCGAGTCCTCTTCATTGGCAGGCAGATTCTTAACAACTGTGCCACCAGGGAAGCCTTAGGGAAGTTTTCGACTGTAATCTTCTCAGATATTATCTCGGGTCCTTTCTCTCTCTCTTCTCCTTCTGGGACCCCTATAATGCGAATGTTGACGCATTTAATGTTGTCCCAGAGGTCCTTAGGCTGTCTTCATCTCTTTTCATTCTTTCTCTTTTAATTCTGTTCCACGGCAGTGAATTCCACCATTCTGTCTTCCAGGTCACTTATCCATTCCTCTGCCTCAGTTATTCTGCTATTGATTTCTTCTTGTGTATTTTTCATTTCAGTTATTGTATTGTTCATCTCTGTTTGTTTGTTCTTTAATTCTTCAAGCCCTTGTGAAACATTTCTTGCATCTTCTCGATTTTTGCCTCCATTCTTTTTCCGAGGTCCTGGATCATCTTCACTATCATTATTCTAAATTCTTTTTCTGGAAGCTTGCCTGTCTTCACTTCATTTAGTTGTTTTGTTGAGGTTGTATCTTGTTCCTTCATCTGGTACATAGTCCTCTGCTTTTGCATTTTGTCTATCTTTCTATGAATGTGGTTTTTATTCCACAGGCTGCATTATTGTAGTTCTTCTTGCTTCTGTTGTCTGCCCTCTGGTGGATAAGGCTATCTACCAGTTACTTTTTTTTTTTTTTAAAGCAGGAATGCTTTGGAAGGAAAGAAGAAAAGCTTTAAAAGTTTTCTTATTCCTGTGCTTCCCTGGTGGTGCAGTGGTTGAGAGTCCGCCTGCTGATGCAGGGGACATGGGTTCGTGCCCCAGTCCGGGAAAATCCCACATGCCGCGGAGCGGCTGGGCCCGTGAGCCATGGCCGCTGAGCCTGCACGTCCAGAGGCTGTGCTCCACAACTGGAGAGGCCACAACAGTGAGAGGCCCGCATACCGCAAAAAAAAAAAAAAACTTTTCTTATTCCTTACATAGTCTCATATTTAAGCAGTGGTCATTTTTGCTGTTTTTCTCAAAATAAATTAAGGATGCTTTGCTTTTATGTAGAAGGAAATCATAATGACTACCAATTTTTGGTTTATCCATGAAATGCATAATGGATGTTACATGAAAAAACAAACTCACCAAGAGTCCAAAATTAGTTTTATGTTCATGCCATCTTTTACTATATCTGCTAAGAAACGAAACTGATTGAGGATGTTGTTTTTTTAAATAAATTTATTTATTTTGTTTATTTATATTTGGCTGTGTTGAGTCTTCGTTGCTGTGTGCGGGCTTTCTCTAGTTGCGGCGAGCGGGGGCTACTCTTTGCTGCAGTGTGCACTCTTCTCATTGCAGTGGCTTCTCTTGTTGTGGAGCACAGGCTCTAGGCACACAGGCTTCAGTAGTTGTGGCTCGTGGGCTCTAGAACGCAGGCTCAGTAGTTGTGGCACACGGGCTCAGTTGCTCCGCAGCATGTGGTATCTTCCCAGACCAGGGCTCGAACCCGTGTCCCCTGCATTGGCAGATGGATTCTTAACCACTGCGCCACCACGGAAGCCCCTAAGGATGGTTTTGTTTTGGTTTTTTTGTTGCTCTACTTTTTAAATATCCTCTGGTGAAGGGTAACAAGTGGGAAATAAAGTTTAAGGAAAGGTAGAAAATGCTGGAATAGTTAGGTATAATCAATCCCTGTATAGTCACTGTTTTCCAAATTTGAGGTCTGTATCTGATTATATTTTCAAAAATCTCTAATAATCAAGGGTAACTAGGACAGTTTCCCTACTAGTTTCAAAACTAGAAAATGGATTTTAAAACAAGAGTACCAGTTCTGCAGCTGTTATGTGACCGTGAACAAATTGCTTACCGTAACTTCTCTGACCCTTTGTTTCTCCATATCTGGAAAGGGAGTACTGGGGGAATTCCCTGGCAGTCCAGTGGTTAGGACTCCATCCTCTCACTGCTGACGGCCCAGGGTTGATCCCTGGTTGGGGAACTAAAATCCCACAAGGGAGTATCACAGTATGTACTTCCATGAGTAATGGATAAGGAGGGAGATATATTGATAAAACCTCACTTATAAGTGCCTGACACTTCCACTGTAAGGACTCAGATGTTAAGCCATATTATTTGGAAAAAGTATTCCACATGCATTTGGAGGAGAACATTCTCTGTTCTAATCTTGGCCCTGCCACCTACTAGGTGTGTTACTTTTGTCTAATTGTTTACCCTCTCTAGACTTTAGTTGCCTCTTCTGTTAAATGGGGGTAACAATAGAACCTCCTTCAAAGGCTTGCTCAGGGTTAAGTGAGATAATACACATCAAGATAATGCAAAGACATCTAAGCCCATGGCACATGGTGAGCATTCAGTAAGTGTTCGTGATTATGGTGAAAATGATGATGTTTCAGTTAAGGGCAGCCTGGACAAAAGAGAGAAGATGTACCAAATCTGATATCTCTTCTCCTTCCCATTCACTAATCTCCAGCTATACTGTTTATACTAGACATGGTAAAGTATGTACCTTTTGTTTATTTTCCTGCTGTTCCACTATAAATTATTAATAAACCTCTTTTATGAGGTTTTTGTCGCAACTGACTGAGGCAGTAATTGGAGAATCTGTTAGTTTTCATAAAGACCTTTCCACTTTGTAGTATCTTTATAAGCTCCAAGCTCATGTCTAATTTGAAAAGCCTAATATTTAGTGCCAGGGGTCAGGGCAAGAAGGAGAAGGGCTCAGCATGGGACGGGGGTGAGTTCAGTCCTACAGGGAATCTGTGTGATCGTCCGAGAACCTGGCCTTTGCTGCCACTAGGTAGGGTGCAGGAAGAAGGGCAAGGCTCTTCAGAGGCCCTGGGGGCCAGAGAACACTGCCCTAATCTGCCACACTGTCTTCCCCACCCTTTCATCAGCGTGGTCTTTCTCCTCCCCTGGTGGTGGCAGAAGGGGGTCAGAATTGACAAGCCAAGGTTGGCTCCTGAGGCTTCCTCTGAATCTGGGGCCCCACTGGAGTGTGCAGTCTGAGTGTTCCGGCCCCCAGCCTCCATAGACACCAGAGATCACTCCTGACTTAGAGAAAGTGGCTTTCGTCACAAGAAAAATATTTGGGTCCTTTGGTGTGAAGACACAGTCCTGGGCTGTTGTCACTGAATTCTGTAACTAGGAATGAAGCACTATACTGTTACTAAAAATGACTTATTTTCTTTCAGAATTATCAGATTTTTTAAAAATCCAGAATTCTTCTATTTGTAAATGTCAAAATTGTTAGCTTCCTGGGACACTTCATAGGAGGACACTTTTCTTGGAATTCATATCTCCTCACTTCACTATTCCTTAGTGTCTCCTACTCAGCACCCTGCATTCAGCTTTGAGTACACCCCCTCTTTTCAGCATCCCCTGTACATCTCATTTGAAATGCTTCTTGAACCATCCTTTCTTTTCTGATTCCACTCTTTCCAGCCAGGTTTTAAGGTTATCACCTCGCATCTGTATTTTTCATAATAACTTACATTTTTTTCTTTTGGATTATAAAAGTAATACATGCTCTTTAGAGTGTGTGTCTGCGTATATGTTCATTTAAGGAAATTGCTTCTGCCCTCTGTACAGTTTCATATTGTGATTTTGTTTTTTAACTTGAAATATCAGCATGTTACTATATCACTAAGTATTCTCCAAAAACATTCTAATGGATACATAATATTCCCTTATATGTTTAGAGCAAAATTTATTTAACATATTTATTTAACATAATTTATTTAAATACTCTCAGCCATTTAGATCTTTCCTTTTTCAGTATTAAAATCAATGCTTGTTTTCAGTTTCTATTCCCAGCATAGTGTAATGAGTAAGAACGTGCGATTTGGAGTTTCAAAGACTATGGTTCAGATCCTGGTTCTGCCATTTATTCCTAGGCCTCAGTTTCCTTCTTTGTAAAGTGGGGATTATAATAGTACTTGCCAATAGCATTATGACAGTTTGATTGAGATGCAGGTAATATACTCGTTTATACAGAGCTTGGCACATTGTAAGTGCTGCTAAATGGTAACTGCTATTATAATACTCACCTCATTAATGATCTGCAGTTGTTTTTTTAGCGTAGTTCCTATAAGTTAGAGTGTAACATCAAAGTGTACAAATATTTTGATACTTTTAATAATATATTGCCAAATTTATTTGTAGAAAGATTGTACCAATTAATAGTCTCATAAATAGTGTAAGTACATATCTAATATCACCCTTGCCATGGTTAGGTACTATATTTTTGGTTATTATTTATGTCAGTGTAACATACGAAAGTGTTATAATTTACATTTCTTTGATTGACAGTGGAAATGACTAGTTTTAATTGTTTAATTGGCTAATTATATTCTATTTTTGTAAATTGTTTATTGAAGTCGGTGCCCATTTTTCTATTGCCTGTGCATCTTTTTTCTAAATCAGTGAGTTCTTTATATAGTAATTATTTATTATAAATAAATAAATAATAATAAATGTTATAAATTATTATTTATTAATAATAATTATTATTTATCGAGCATTTAGAACTTTCATATGACACAAGGGCCAGAAAGGCTAAGTAGTTTGCCTAATTCTTAGAACCTTGTGTGACACAGAGTAAATACTCAGTAAGTACTTGCTGTTTTTGTTATTAATCTTTGTATTTCACAGCACCTCGCATGTACGGTGCTTTGCACATAGTAGGGGCAGAATAAATACTCGTTAATTTATATTGACACTAGCCACCCTCACCTGTGCTCTTGGATGTGCACAGAAGCCAGCCTTTAATGAGTGCCTTTGTGGCAACCACTGTTTAAGCTCAGGTGGGTCAGCATCTCCTGGACTCTACATGATTTTCCCCATTATGATTTTAATGATACTTTTCTAAAACTCTGTAAAATCAGGTTATTTCCCTCACTTCATTTCTAGGTAACACACCTGAATTTGGCAAGTGGCGTCATAAACGGAGGCAGTGCTTCGACTCCCCACACACTTTGGCCTGTCATCAGTCCTAGTGGCCCAACATGGTCAATACAGTCAGACCCCCAAGCTCCTGAGAGCCACTCCGCCCCTCCTGGAAGCAGGTATGTAAAGGGCGATGGTGCCGGCATTTGGGCCACACAGGGGCAGCCTGGATGCTAAGCAAGTCATTCTCACTTTGAGTTCCCTGCACAGGCACCAGCAAGACAAGTGCCTTTCCCCTCATGTCCTAATCCTCTGGTGCCTGAATATAGGGCCTCATTTCACTTGTAAGACAGTTTGTGGGCAAATCAAATGAAAAGGAAATTTCTGATACAGTTCAGCAAGTTCACTTCTGGGTGAAAGAGCAAGAATTTATACTATGCTTAATCCTTGCTCACAGTCAACATTTTTGTGTATTGACTTTTGACATTTTCTCCTTGTCTCCTAATTCTTTTTTTATACCTTGTATTACATTGTGTTTCAGTAACTTTGGACTCTTTTCTTTTGAAGCACATATTTTATATGTTTTTATGTAGGTTATCTAATTAAACTCAAACAGCCTCCCTGGACAATGTTCATTTGGAAAGTGGGAAGGAAATTCCCTTTATGTAGTTGAGCAAAGTGGCAGAGGATAGATCCAAATAGATTCTGGCCATAACGTCAGCAACTTCTGATTTAAAAAAGAAACCACTGTATTGGATTCTAGTCTCGATCTGTATTTCAAGTTCCCCTGTATAAAAAACGTAAGAAGAAACAGATTCCCAGTACATCTTGCTTTAGTGGCTATTAAATATGGGTTTAATTGCATCTGTCCCTGAGTCAGATGAGCTAGAATGGAATGTGACTGTTACAATGAAGTATTCCAACCAGCTGAGGTATTGTTCCCTCCAAATGAAGACACTGTGCCACAGGTGTCCCACCAGCTCCCTACCCCAGGCCAGCACATCAGCCTCTGCCAACCAGCCACCTCTTTGGATGCTGCCCTGCCCTGAGGTTGGAGGGGTGACCGAAGGCTTGGGCATGGAGGAAATACCTAATTGTTGTTCAAGTATCTGTTGGTGTTAGAATGATTACTTAAGGAACTAATTTGGGAAGCAGAGACTCTGCCCAGGAAGCAAGATAAACATAAGCGCATTACATCATGCTCTGGTACGGTGTCTTTCATACCAGTGATCATTGTGGTCAAGGGTGAAAAGAATCATCTCAATTTAGAATTATGAAGAGTTGAAGACCAAGAGGCAGGACTTTTGAAGACAGGACATCCTCCCACACTATTCTCTTCATAGGAGAAGTCTGTCCTTTGGTGATTTATGATTCCAGAGTAACCGCATTCCTAAAACATAAGTCGTAAAAAAGAAATTCTGTTTATACCACAGAGCTTTATTTTCCATATAAAATATTTCCAAATATTCCATTTTCATTTTACAATCAGAGGCTTGTTTCTATGGAAAACACTTTCTGTGCAATCTTGGATATATTGTCTATATGACAAGGCTGCAACCGTTTTCCATACGGTAAGCAAAATGTCAAGACTATACATTTTGGAAAAATAGTTTTAGCTTTTTTTTTTTTTTGGCTGCACCACAGGGCATGCGGGATGATGAGATCCCCAACCAACCAGGGATCAAACCCGTGCCCCCTGCAGTGGAAGCTCGGATTCTTAACCACTGGACTGCCAGGGAAGTCCTGAGTTTTAGCATTTTTCATACTTGTGTTTGGAATAAAAATTATGGCTGGGTTTTGAGCCTTCTCTTGGTGACACCTTTTAATGCCGAGACGCAGAAAGATGAAGGGGTCCATCAAGGCCAGAGGCAGGACCTAGGGTGCAGTGCTGTGAGTGACCTTCTCCCAGCCAGACTGTGCTCATGGGCTGTGGTAGAATGCCACATGATACGATCGACTTCAGAACCACTGGCACCAGGAAGTAGCCCCTGCAAAGCCCCCTGGTCTTTCCCTTTGGGGGTTAGTTGTACCCATAACAGCCGTCTCTTCACCTACTCTTCAAGCTCGAGGGTCAGTTCTCTGGCCCCATTCTAGTCCAGGGTAGCCCTGGAAAATCTCCCTTCCCCCCAACCCCCAACACTGTGCAACCTCTGGTTGCCATGACAGCCTGCAAGCTCAGCTTGGGAGTTCCAGTTCCATGTGGAATTCCCAGAGATACCCACCCTAAAGAGCCTTAAATGAATTCTCAGAGGTCCTTTCAGAACTGACTATGACATGGGCCCCAGCCAGCCCTCCCTCAGGCATTCGCTCTGTCCCATGCCCCAGTTTCTTTATTTACCTGGTAAGTCACTGTTTTGTGGATATTTATTTAGTCTCTTGTTGTTCCTTCCTTAGTAGTAAGGGTGACTAAGTTTAATGAATAAGGGATTAGTAGCTTAGAGATGTGAGTTTTATTACTGACTTTTACACTAAGTGACCCTAAACTATTCATTTAATCTTTTTATTGGATAAGCATACTTACGTGTAAACTGGCCTGTTTTGGGAGCTTTTAGGTTGTTCTTAAAGCACTTTGATCTCCCTGGAAGTGGGTGCTAAGTAAATAACATGTCCTCTTACTTGTACATCTATAAAAGCATCAGTGGATTCCAGTGCTGATAAACTCTCATAATTCACTCAACCAGGGGCTGCCCTGTAAACAGTAAAAAGATGTAAAGAGAATCCAATGCTGGCTGTACTTTTCATCTGCATCTTGGAGGATTCAGTGACTTGGTAGCCACAGGAATGAAAACTGGTGACTCACAAGAACTCAGCAAATAGTGTTATTTTTCATTTCCCTGTGGCGTTGCTATTGTTCTCAATTTTATGGATCACACAAGTTTTCACCAGACAACCTTGTTCTTCCCCCGCTGTTTTGAAACCACCCCAAATGTAGCCCAGGGCTGTCGTCTCCCATTGGGTCAGTGTGAGCTCAGCCCAGCTCCTCAAATCCCTCGGTTCCTTTGGTCTGTCTGGAGTCCCTGTTGGAGCTTTGTTGTGGGAGAGGAAGGCAGAGAGCCCACGCCTTGCCCAGACAGTCTGAGGCCTGGCCGTGGAGCTTGCAGTTCCCTAGACACTCGGAGTTGGACTTGGCCAGCCATTCCTCTGTTGTTACTTTTCAGAGGTAATAAGTGAGATTAATTGCAGGCCATTCTCCAGAAGAGAATGTAGTCAGGGCCAAATACAGTCACATGTTTAGAAGCCTGAGGTGTGCCTTCGAGCAAGGCCAATTGAGAATTATACAATCTGGCCTCCAGGATGCAGGTACCGAATGTCCGCGACCTCTTTTTTCTTAAAGGGATTGTATTTGATTTCTAGATGCTGATACCTGGGTACTAAGCTTTTCTTTAGCCAATGAAATGGGTCGGGTTTTTCAAGCTGCCTTTTAATTATCTATTTTTCTGGGTACCCAGGGTATTGTTAGGAGCTGAGATTGATGTGCAGAGGCATCTCCTCATTACCGCCAGCCTTGCACAGAACTGGGCCATGTCAGGGAGGAGCATTTTCTAGGTGAGGAGAGCATCTTTCTTTGGGAGACCTGGAAGGGTTACTGTAAAGTTCTGGCTGCTGCTTGGAATGATTTGGGAAGGACAGGGCCTCAGACGGCTTGGCAGGAACCTGAGGCTCTGTTTTTTTCCAGTCCAGCCCTTCCTCGTGGATCGAGCTGTCAGGGAATCCCACGAATGTCTGGCTTCTGCCCCTTTGTATGTTTTTCCAGCATTTGTCATTGAATTATTTTTATCCATCTCTGGTTTTTTCACACATGCAACCTGGGGATTTATCTGTTCCTCGATGTTAAAGGTGAGGGAGGTTGAAGGCACAGTCATGAGTTTGTTCCTTCTTTTTGTGACAGGGCAAGACATCGTGGGCCTAGGCTGTGTGGCCTGGTAGCCTCTACTCTGGAAAACAGCTGTATGTCAGAACTTTAAATTCTGTACTGGGGAATGGGATACAATGAAGCCCCAAATCTTGGAAAATTGGGTGATATTTCATGTCACCTTGTTCCTCTGCCCTCTTACTCTTTAGTTATAAATTATAGTCTGGTACCTTTCTTTACATAATTTTTTGAAGCAGATTTTCACAGATTCTGATACCAGTTTAACTAATACTTTTCTCCCTTGTTTTAGATTATTTCTTTTTCTAAAAAAATACTTATTTTTTTATTTATTTATTCTTGGCTGCATTGGGTCTTCGTTGCCGAGCGCAGGCTTTCTCTAGTTGCGGCGAGCGGGGGCTACTCTTCATTGCGGTGCATGGGCTTCGCATTGCAGTGGCTTCTCTTGTTGCAGAGCACGGGCTCTAGGCGCGCAGGCTTCAGTAGTTGTGGCTCGCGGGCTCTAGAGCGCAGGCTCAGTAGTTGTGACGCACGGGCTTAGTCGCTCCACGGCATGTGGGATCTTCCCGGACCAGGGCTCGAACCTGTGTCCCCTGCATTGGCAGGCGGATTCTTAACCACTGCGCCACCGGGGAAGTCCTAGATTATTTCTCACGAATGTTGCTGGAGATTCAGGACTCTGACTTCCCATCTTTTCATTTTCAGTTCTCAGAAATATTGAGTTTATTTTCTTTAATAAAACATGTTCTGTTCATTTTCTATGTGTCAGGCATTGTGTTAGCTGCTGGGAGTAGCGACAAATAAGACAGAATCGTCCCCAGTCTCCCAGAGTTTACTGTCCAGGATGTATCTTCTATGCTGTCGGCGTAGTGCTGAGCGCTGGGTAGGGTCTAAAAGACTGAAGACCTGGTGTTGGATCACTAAGAGGTTACTGTCTAACAACGAGAAGGAGCCACATACACATGGAACAGTTAGGAAACAGTGTTGGGCAGCATATAACAAAAAGATTTAAACTGTGTGACCCAGGCAATTAGAAGAAAGAGAATCAAGAAGAGGGTGTAAGGATTTAACCCTGTCACCGGCTACAACATGGCTGAACCTTGAGGACATAATGCTAAGTGAAATGAGCCAGTCACAAAAGGACCAATACTGTATGATTCCACTCCTGTGAAGTATCTAAAGTCGTCTAAATTGTAGAAACAGAAAGCAGAAAGGTGGTTGCCAAGGGCTGGGGGAGTAGAGGAGGGGGAGTTAGTGTTTAACGGCTATAGAGTTTCTAACTTGCAAGATGAAAAAGTTCTAGAGATC